AGTTATTTCTTGGAAAATGCATTAAAAATTGCCTCTCTTTGGAATAATCAAAAAATAAATAAATACTGCAGGCTGGAGAGATCACTCAGCAGTTAAGAGCACTGACCGCTCTTGAAGAAGACCCAGGTTCAATTCCTAGCACCCACATGGCAGCTAACAGCTGTCTGTGACTCTGGTTCCAGGGGATCTGACACCACTCTTCTGACCTCTGTGGGCACTGCACAACACGGGTGGGCTTACATCCATGCAGGCAATATACTCATACACATAAAATAATAAAAATAATAAATAATAATTTATTTATTTATTTATTTGGTTTTTTTTTAATTTTTGAGACACAGTTTTCCAGTAGCTTCAGCTGGCCTGGAACTTGCTATGTAGACCAGGCTGGCTTAAACTCACAGAGATCTGCCTGCCTCTCCTTTCCAAGTGCTGGGATTAAAGGCATGTGCCACCATGTCCAGCAATAAAATAGTTTTTTAAACACTGGCTTTTTTTTTTGCCATGGTCCAGGTCTTCCTTAGAGTTCTGGAAGGCATGGATCATCCACACAGCCTCCTGTAGAAGGGGTCCAAGTCATCCATTCATTCTCTTGGGTGGAGGAAATAGCTCAGGCAAGGTAAAGTGCTTGCCTCACAGGCATCACAGCCTGAACTCAACACCAGAAGCCATATAAAGATGCCAGGCAACATTGTGGCACCTGCTTTGTAATCTCAGTGCTGGGGAGGTAGGACAGGAGGAGCCCTAGGGCTTACTGGCCATCCATTTAAGCCCAGTTGATGAGTTCTAGAACACTGAGAGACCCTGTCCCAAAAGAGGTGGGCAGTATTCCTAAGGATGATACCCAAAGCTGTCCTCTGGCTTCCACACGTGTACTTGCACATATATGAACACATACACATACATACATACACACACATACATACGAAGTCACAAACATTTCCTGCATGCATGAGATTGGCCATATTCTACTAGTAGATATGTTAAACAAACAGCAGCCACATACATTGCTGGTGTATAAGCATGCCTTATGATTGCTTTCCTGGAAAGCAATCTAGAAACAACTCATCAAATTAGAAATGTTAGGTTTAGGGGCACAGAATTCAGGAACAATGAGAGAGAAAGAAGGAGACCATATCTGACCTCAGACAAGACTGAGTTTATTGAAGCACCTCAGGGAGGGAAACAACTCACTGAGTCCCCTGTGCTGGAAGCGCT